CGCTCCTCAGGGCAGGGAGGGCGGGAGCGGCACTCACAGCAGCCCGGCTCACGGGAGAGCGCAGGGGATGTGCCGGTGCGACCCCTGCGCCTCACCTCCTCACTCCTGGGAACCGCGGCACCGTTTATGCTCGAATTTTCCAGATCCTGCTACCAGCCGCCGGCCGGCCTGGCGGCCCTCTGTCTCGCCTGCAAGCTGCGGCCGGGACATGTCTGCAGCGTGGGGCAGGGAGTTCTCATCCCGTTTGGTAACTGCACTCTCCTGCTGGGGCACGGGACGCTCATACCGTGTGAAGTTACTGCCGTGCACCTTTATTTTAGTTTCCCCCTGCTGAGGCTCTGCCTGCCAACCTCTGCTGTCTTTTCCATCCAAGTCTGATGAACCTAATGTCACCTTTCACCGGGAGCAAACATTTCTGCTGTAGCCTGTTCCCTCTGCACCAAGGAGGTGGCGCAGAAAGCCAGCAGCCGTGCAGCAAGCTCCCTGCCGTGGTAAAGAGCTGTGAGGCCACAGGGGATGCGCAGCCGAGCCAAGGCTGCCCTACCTTGCCCAACATTCCCACTCCCCCAGGATGCCTCTGCTGCAACTGAGCCGATTCCTGTACCTGTCCTTAAAAATGGCAGGACGCAGCTTAGTACGCATTCCCGACTCCTAATCAAATACACATTTTTTTCTTGTAATCTTACTGTGGACTTGGGTTTTTCACGGGAAAAAATTTCCCAGGGCAATTCATTAGAGTCACTGAAGGTATGCCTGAGAAGAGCATTATGTCCATTTCCTTACAGTGCTAGTTTTCAGCTAGGCGCCCTGGCTTTTGGAAGTAACTTAATGTACCCCTAGTCCCAAAACCATACAAAGGGGAGAAGTATAAATCCACCGGAGTGAGTAAAAATGCAGAGGCTGTTTTGCTCTCTTTTTTTGGTAGCAATATCTTTACAGCCTTTCCAGAATGCACAGCTCTTCCTCGGAGGGAAGATGTGTTGCTATCCACGGTGTGCTATTTCACACCCTTTCTCCAACAGATGGCACAGATCCTCACCTGTTTAGAAAGAGATGTTTGAAATGGTTTTGCGTCTAAAAATAGATCCTAGCTATCAAAGGGATTAGTGATACCAGCTCACAGGTTGTTTTTTTCGAACATGTACCCCCTGGTTTTCCTCATTATTTGCGTTAGATGTTAACCCCTGTTCTGCTCAGGCTGGAAGTATGGAACTACTGTGGGTCAGCCTGCCAGGCAGGGCAGATAAGCTGATTTGTAATTCCTACGAATAGTAGGCATGGTACGGGTGCTTGGATATGTGTGAATATGTATGTCAGGTAACAATAGAAATAAAACACTACATTTGCATTTAGAGATTACCCGGAATTGAATCTAGGATTCAATCATCATTGAGGTCCAGAAGTAGAACCAAATGCTACAGCTAATTCCCCTTTCTGTAAAGGACTATGCTAAAATCTGAATCCTGGGGTTGAGAGAAGCCTGTCCATTTTCTGGCTTCTGTTTTCTTTGAAGAGCATCATGACTGTAAAAAGAAGGGGGGTTGAATTCTGCTGTGCACACACAGCTGTAGCAACCTCCTCCTGTGATTTTCATTCCGTGAATTTCTTCAAGTTTCTCTTCAAGAGCATACTTTTGTGTGATACACAGCCAGTGAACAGCTATATTGTTGCTGCCCAAGCCCAGAAACTTTCAGCTATTCCTTGCCAGATTTGTGAGTGGTATGAAGCCAAATGGGGACGGGATTCAACACCAAGAAGGAGCTAGAGGATGAGTAAATACCAGGCATGGCTGATCTTTAGTAAAAGGAGAAGAGTGAGGGCTAAAGCTGGGATTAACACAAACTGCAGGACTGCTTAGTTCTCTACTGGACAAATCCTAGAGGGAGAAAAAAAACATTTAGGGCCTCTTCTCTCTTGGTTGTAGCAGTGGAGAACAACAGTGCTGTGGAGAGCAATGCAGTCATGACTCAGTCGTAACTGAGACAAGAACCAGCTCACAGACCTTTATGATTTCTGGTTTAGAAGAGACTTTCTCTTACCATTAGAGTGTAGAGACTCTCATTTAATCTGATCATGGAAGAGCTCTGAGTGGGCAAGGCAGGCTCCAATGAACAATTCTATTCCTTTCTCATTTCATTCTTACTTGATAGTGTTAGGAAGAAACACATGTTGACTTTCTGTAAGTTTGCCCTTTTCCAAAACTGCCACCTAATTTCCTCTAACCCCTTCTGTCAGCAGGGGAGTACCCCACGTTCACTGGCACATGTTCCTCCCAGCAGAGGAATGAAACACATATTATTTTTCACATTTAATTCGGAATTTTTGTTGCTGTTGTTGCCATGCAGTTTGTCAGCCAAGCATAATCTCCTGGCAGGAGGAGACAGACAAACAAGATAAAGAGAAACAATACACCTTGGTTGTAGACCTTAAACTTTTTGATTCCAGCAATATCACCTGATCCTATTGCCAGTGAAAATAAGAAAAGTGCAAAAGCAAAACACATTAAGTCTTTCTAGCCAGGAAAGCGAAAATAAATTACATGGAATGACCTCCAACACTAATTGCCCTTTTAGCAGCAATTTTCAGATTCAAAAGGAGGTGGAAACTACAGAATGCTAAGAAACTCCTAACAAGATTTCGCAGCATCAGAGAATCAGAGCTGAAATCAGACTTGTTAGCTTACAGTTGCCATAGGCATGCAATAGGCTGGGCAGAATGTGACTTTAGGATCTGAGTCCTTCTTGGTGAGAGTACTAAACCCTTTCATCAGATCCCCAGCCTTCACGCCCAACTATTGCTGGGAGCTGGTTTGGGCACTGTAATAATTTGGAAGTGCTACAAATTCCAGGTGTCATGGATGACTTATCCAGGAGTCATTACTGATGGGAGACATTCCCATGTCCCTCCTCCCCAACTTTTTCTAGGGCTCATCTCTAGCCTTCAGCCACAACTGAACAGAGAATGATTTAGTGAAAAAGCAGTAAGTAAGGACCATGCCCAATGGGAGAATCTTACACTTCCATGTCAAACCCTCCAGTCAAGAAAAGCCTCTGCTAAGTGTGAGACCTGGACATTATTCTTTGCCCTGAAGAGCTACAGAGGAGTTGTTTTGCCACAAAAGTATGTGAACTGATAGAAAACAGAAGTTTTCCTGAGGTTTGCATAGGTCTTTGGAATCATCCACATGGAAAAATGTTTTTAAAAGTGTGTTTCAGGTTTTCCTCTGTTCAGAATACAAGGTGGGAGAGAACTCCTCTGTACATTTCATTGCAACGGTTCCTGTACAACAATAGCAGCACTGGATGTACTAAGAAAAAAAAACAACTCGTTATTTATGTAGCAATTGAATTTTTTGCTAATTCTGCCTTTCAGTGTGCCTGAAGAGGGCCAAGTGAGCATCACATGCAAACAGGCAAGGGCAGTAGAGAGTCCCTAGCGTGTGACACAGATAAAACACCAAGGAATCTAAATAATGTCAGACATGGGTATGTAGGTTAAAAAACCAAACCATAGTTTATTTAAATGTGTAAAGTACTTGGGAGGGAAAAAGATTATATTGTACTATGGCAATACAGACAGCACATACTGCAACAAGCTCATCCATCATAATGAATTCAGGCTACTTTTTCCAGCCTCCTAATCCGCTCAGTCACACAGATCTTTGGGAGAGGCCTGACGTTGATTTCTATAGGGAACTCCACACTACAGATTAATTTCAGTCAGAATTTGCTGTCCTGTTTCTGTATGTCAGACTCAGGAGCAGAGCAGCATCTTACCACCAGGGGAGACAGGCAAAATATGGCAAAACTTCTCATACACTAAGACCCTCTGCCATGAGTTAAGTAAAAGTAGCCTGATGGAACGTCTGATCCTAGGACAAATTACCAGGCTGCTGGCCTTAACCTTACCCCAGACATGCCTCGTCACTGGGATGAGAAGCCTAAAGCAGCAGAGACTGAGAGATATATTATAATAGTTATAAAATGCCATTTCCAGACACAGCTTTTTATTTCAGGTTCTTCTCAATCCAGTCTTTGAAGGGAAGAGCTTTGGTGTAGCCACTGTAGAGTTCTAGGCTGCAAGTTTTGTCATAACCCCAGCTCACTAATCCCATCAGGTGCCACCTTAGCTCAGGAGATGCTTTTCCTGGCAAAGTTATGGCTGCAATCCCACCAGTCTCAGCAGGGCAGATATTAGAAAAGGCTGTGTGGTCTTGTTTGGCACAGAACATGCTGTCAGTGATGCTGACTTGTATCCCATTATCCTCATACTGTTGCTCACACAACAGTGAATCCACCATCCGAACAGTTCCCATGCGGATTGTGTCATTCTTGTATCCAGGATCCTTAATGTCAGCCAATATCTTCCAGCCAGTGACCATTATTTTTAAATCCTCTGTGGATGAAGTCAAGTCATGAGAAGATGACAAGCAAATGGGTTGAACACGGCTGCTGATTCTGGCTTTGTCCAAGAGTTTTATGATAGCTATGTCAGAATCAAGTAATATAGGGTCATAATTGGGATGCACAATGATGGCAGAAATCTGGGGAGGAAACAGAGTAGGAAGAATCATAGAGTTAACAGCAATGGCAAGTCAGCAGCACTTTTTCCATACTATTATAATACATGTTCGTTTATTTTGCATACTTCTCCTCTACCCTCCACTCCCAAACTGTTCTTTCACCATTATGCTCACTCAGTAGAGAAATGTGCAAAGAGATCAAGAACTTTTTTTTTTTTTTTCCTTGAGTTTCAGGACAGTTTTTATTGCATGAAACTCTTCCTAACGAAAGGCAGTCAAGGACATTTTCAGCGAAGTGGGGAGTTAATGTACAGTTCAAGTTTTTCCACTGTTTCCCTGCCATGCTTGTAGAATTTGAACTGGGGGGGGGGGGGAATTTGAATTAAAATTTTATATTCTTATTGAAATTCAACCATCTTCCCACCAAAAAAGAATACTAGCAATACATTACATAATGTTGGGGGTGAAACCTTTGCTGCTAGTTACTTTGATGAAACTACAAGAATGATAGGATTCCTATAAGGAAATATTGTAAAAAAAGCACATATTTCCTTACAGGAAAAGTCTGAAAAAGCTTTAATTAGAGAAAGAAACTAAAGGGGGGGGGGGAGGGGGAAGAATCAAATTAACTGATTTCTTGGATAAAGTCCACTAATTAACTCACACACACACAGAGAAAAAGAGACACACACAGCCAAAATTGCTGTATTTCTCCTGATTTTGACTTCAGTCTTTCTAGTTCTATATGAAAAAAACCAAACCACTCTGGTGAGCCTAAGGTGCTATTTTTGGAGCTGGAGTTAGACATAAACTTCTCTTGAGTTTAGAGCTGTACAGCCTTCGGGCTGAGATGTGAAATGTGCTCATGGCATCAAACCAGGATCTAGAGCACAAGTGTTTCATAAATTATGCTAATTACTTTTGACAGTAGCTGGCATCTCTTCTACTTTTTTTCTGGCAATATCACTCAAGACTTTATGGCCCATGGAACTTGAGCTATTTTCTTAGTGATCTGTGTTATGGGGTGAACATATGAGTTGGACAGTGTCAGGGGAATTTAATGAACTGCAGCATGTTACCTCTTTGTGCCATGACAGTTCTGTCAGTTGAATCTCTAGATATTCATTTTAAAGAACAGCATGTAAAACAATATATTGCTCAAAGGATAACCCTTTTCTTCCCATACAAGATGGATGTGATCAGCATCTGTCCGTGCTCATCATTTTCCGCTCCCAGCAGGCTTACTCACCCGCAGGTTCTGGATGGTCTTTTCATCCCTGTCATCGTCTCTGTAGAATTTCCCCAGAACCACCTTGAGCTCTGCTGTCTTGAGCACGATGGTTTTGCCCAGGTCAGTGACACAGTGAGCTGCCACCACCACAGTGCGCTCGTTCACCAGGGCCCCACTGCAGATAAGGATCCAGGCCCCTTTCCGGAGACTGTTCTCCTTCACCCCGTTGGCTGTCCGATAGATTGCTGCTTGCCAGGGCCACCTGGTAGAGGTCATTGTCTTCTGAAGGGTGATGTTTTCTGCTTTTCCACAGACTGAAGAAACATGAACCAAGAATGAGGTTAACGCCTTTCCCCCAACAAGGAATCTGAATATCAAACTTGATTCCTGCTTAGGATGTGCCAAAAGAAACCAAATTGCAACAGTTAGCATGAGGGACAGCTTTCTAATTAACTTCTGTTTCCAACCTGCAAAATTATTATGCAAGAGTATTTTGTATAGCTTTTAAAAAAAAAAACCCTTTCAAATTTTCCATTATTATCCGAATCCCTGGCTGAAGTAGGAATGTGGATTTAGCACCTGAGCAGGTGAATTTTCATGACAGCCTTATCAAGCCGCACTATAATGAGATGACCGCATAAAGAAATGGAAAGAACACCCCTGCTTCTTGCTTATAATAAAACATGATAAAGCTAGCAGTGCACTAAAACTCACTCTAGGCAGTCACAAAGCAACTGTGAGGTCCTCTCCTGGAACTGACCTTAGCACAGATGAGTTCATGCCTCTGAGAACAGACTTGTCTTGCAACAAGAACCTTGAAGCAAATGCATCTAAATCAACAGCCATCCTGGGGAAAAGAAAAAGCTCTGCCCTGTTCTAGGAATATATTACCTTGGCTCAGACCTGGGGTAAAATCTCTTGTGTTAGGAAAGGTTTACTTCAGTTGAAAGAGTTACATTATGTGGTCACATTTTTTAGTCTCCCCTAGGACATTTTTTTTTTCCTGGTATGTAGTGTGTGCACACACATAGTGAAAAGAATTGAATTAAATACTTTTCAATACATGAGATGATCTCAAAGCAAAACCACAAACAAGAACTCTAAAAATTTGCTTGATGTTAGGATCTACTTTTCACACTTTGCCTGATGCCAGTAGTGGGTTGTACCAAATCTTGTGATATTCCTACCCTGACTTAGTCTGTGCACTAGCTCTGGATAAGATTTTATCTGGTTTGCAATATGAACCCTTCCTTAGCAGGGTATATTAAAGGAAAAGCCTCTTTAAAATGCAGACTCTCCATTCTATTGTTTACTTTGATGTTTTTGTCAAATGTGTGCCAAAGGGTAGAGAAAAATCACATTTGCGGTAAATAATACAGGAAAAGATTGACATGATAGCAGGAAAACATTTTCAAATCAGGAGAGAAACTCACTACACCTTTTGCTCAAGAAAAGAGTAGAAAAATTGACGGCAAATTACAGGGCTGAAAGCTTGATCCCTTAACAAGCAACTGCGCAAGTTCTACCTGTGGATAAAAAGAGCCATATATCCTCCAAACTTTTTTGCTTCTGTCTCCCAGCTGGAAGCATAGGCAGCCTGCACCACCAAGACTCCCTAATTATCTGAGCTGAATAAACATCCTGTTCCCCCATCCACCCAGAGATGTGTGCATTTTTTTTTACTTGGAGACTCACTTGGAATACACACAGGGGCTCTCCCACTCCATTTTCCTGTCTTCAGACAAGTCCTCCTGCTGCTACCCAGGCGGCGGTAGAAAGGAGAAATGCACTCATACTGAAGCTGAGTGTGCAGATGCTGGTACCCTGGGGGCAGGTCTCCAAATGGCAGTGCTGGCTTCTTGGTTGGATAGACTTCAAGCTTTTGCTTGCGGAATGCAGATGAGTAAAGTTGATGCAAAGGTGTTTCCCTGTTTCAAGGCACAAAGAACACAAGCTGTGTTAAGTATCATTTCAAAGCATATGAAGTTTGCTTGTGAAAGAATAAGGCAAAAATATCATTGCAACATAGTTTAGCAATACTCCCATTCACCTCCCTGCTATTTTATTTACATACATATTTGTACACATATATAAATACATGTATGTTTATGATTTTTTTATTTGTGTCTTTTTTTTTCATTTTACAGTTTCTGGATTGTCACTCTGAATGTGGAACAGTTTTTGCCATTCACAAAAGGACTGAAATACCATGTTTTTAAATAAAGAAATGACACTGGAAGTTGGCATTGCCGTAATTAGTTCTCACTAGAGAGGAGTTAGGCACATCTTTTCTCTAGTGAACATTTTAATAGGCAGTATTAGGAATTGATTCAGATTAAATCATGTTGATAAAGTTGCTTGATTTAGCAATTAGCAGAGATAATTGCCTCACCACAGAGATTTCATAATTGCAATCATCACTAAGCTTTAATTTAGAAACTGTACTGATTAGCTGAAACATGGCCTAGGCCATAAGCTTGACTACAATCATACTTAAATCTTCATCACTTGGAACGTGTCCCTTGCTCTAATGCTTAAAAGCAGATACCTACAGAAAAAAATATTTATATCTGAAA